TCTCGACCAGTCAATTTAAGTTAGAGAATGAATATTTAGTGGTTAAAAATGTTTTGGGTCTAGTTTTGATCTTGAGAAGTGCCCCAATAGTCGAGAGCTTGAGTACACGAATTTGAAGTTGCATTTAAAGTGCAAGAAAGTGTAGTTTTCAACGTATCAAAATGTCGGCTTTTCGATTGAGAACCTATTCTAAAACTATCAAATTCGTGCTCAGCGCCGTCGATTACCCCAAGAAAAGTGAAAAAATCAAAAATATAGGTGGCCCAGCAACCACCAAAACACCAGAAGTTTTTCAAACCATTGTAAACAGGGTTGAAAAAAGACTGGCCCGATCCCGCCCTGATCCTAACGTGCTTTTGATTTTATTTCAGTCCAAATTAGATTTTCTATTCATAAGTATTCATAACCGTTTACTAGGAACCTTCTGGTTAGGTCTTTTTGCAAAAAAAGTTGAAAATTTGGTCACAGTTGGGAGTCGAACCCTCGACCCTCGGATCAACCAATCGTCAAGCCCTAGCTAATTTGAAAGCCCTAGCCAGTTTGAATTTGAAAACGGAACAAATCAACAAATGGTCTTCGCTACTGTGTTCCTCTTCAATGCAGCTTTTGAATAAGACCAAATTCGCTCAGATTGATTTAGTTTGAGATCATCTTCCAGCAAATCCACGATTACTTCTTAGCCAGCCTAATAAATACTGGTCTGACCTGATTTCTTCTTTTGCATCAGGTTTTGATCTGTTCGCAAAGCCACCACGAAATACAAATACCACATAGTTCGCAAATTTCAGCACAGAGTTATCGCCTCCAAAGCCAACGGAACCCGTTCTCATGTAGTAGTTGTCATGTGACCGGCTCTGTGATTCCAGCCAAGCATTCACATAGTCTGCCGGTAGAACAGCGACTTGCTTCCTGATTCTGAAAATTACAGAAAACATTGCAAGTCAAAGTTTAATTCAGAAGCTTTTCGCGGTTCCTTTCCGTTATACATCCACAAAAATAACCCCTGATCATCAATCAATGAGGAATCAATGAGCAATCCATGCCGTAGCATATTGTTGCAAAATTCGTAGAAATAGTCCTTTCCCACTTCTCGTCGAACCATCAATTTAGCGAGGTAGTTCGGTAGGAAATGACGTGCCGCGATGTTTCTTGTTTCTCCATACGTGTTGTACCTATTGACACGAGCATGGGTAAAGCCGGCCTCCTCCATCTGTTCAGTATTGCATCCTCGCCAACAATGGGAGTCAATGTAGGTTCCCGGCTCCGATGTGATCAATCATCGCTTCCAATAGGGTCGGTCACCTCGACCAGAAAACATCCCTTGGTTTCCCGGCAAACTCCTCTAGATATCCACAAATTTTCATGGAAGGAGGCAAATTTGGCGGATTTATAAAACGGAAAAGAACCCTTTTCGCGTTGATCGTGAGCTAAAACTTACATATCATCCGTGTTAACTAAAAGTTTATAGATTTCCGAAGCCATTCGCTGCATTTTCTTTTGTTGTTCATACTGGGTGCTGCTCCATGTCCAATCCTTTTGATCCTCTTGAGTCCGTGATGCTCGCCCATAATCCACTTCGAATTCTTTCCTCTTCTTCGAGCTTTTTGGATCCAATTTGCCTTAAAAGCTTCCTGTCCCTGCTCCCTCTCGTGGATTTACTAACAACTTTTTTTTCGCAATACCTTTAACTATACGTAAAAACTCACCCGTGTGCCTGTGTAGCATCCAACATTGAGAACGACTTCACCTTTGTACACCCATTTACGCCGCGATCCACAAGTGATAGTTTTTGTGTCTGATGGAAAATCCATCTTGTGGTTGATCTGAAAAACATTTTTTAAGGGATAAACTGAAAAAGAAACTCCCACTCGAACCAGCGGGAAATGGTCTGGATCAGCAGTGCATGTGAATGTTCGTTGGATCCAAAAATATTTACTGTAATTGAGTGATGAAGATAAAATGAGAAGGGTTGTCTCTAGCGACCAAAAGACTTGAGCCAAGGGCCGGACCATGGCTGCGGGCAAGCCTTGATCGAGTTCGAGCTCATGAAGGTTTTCACCGGGCCGAGCGCGGGAAAGTTTTCACGAAACACGCTTACTTAGACGTCTCATCGCTCCTAAGGTTTCTCCAGTTGCCACCAGCCAAATGAATTTGAATGTTTTGACTCTGGTTCTTGCAATCTTCCATCCATTCTAAAAAGACAGCTGGTAGACGAGTTGGGTAACAAAAAAAGAACAAAGTTATCGATCGAAACAAACTCACCATCATTTGCTGTCACAATTTGTGCCAGTGAAGCCACAAGCAAGAAAACGAATTCTTCCTTCATTTACAACTAAAAGCAAATTTTTGAAAATGTGAATTGTAAAAAGAGAAAGTTTAGTATAAAAACGAGAAATTGTTGAAATAAATATAAAAAAATTTGATGAGAAAATGAAGTCGTCAAATGAAATTTCAAAATCTATGTTGTGAGAATGATTCGATTCTAAAAGAATTTTTTTGGTAGAATCATACATTTTTCTTCTTTTTTTTCTAATAATATTCAGCTCAAAATAATTTAATGGAAAAATGAGAAGAGAAGTTTTAGCGCTTTTACGACAAACTTCAGTGCAAACTGTATCTGAGTTGCCATATTTTTGCTTAAAAATAAATACTTTATTCTAAAATAAGATCAAACACCTGAATTTTGAGCTCAGCTTTTCAATGAAGCCGTTACCTAAGACTAACACAAAGCTTTGCGGTTCTAACGTGATAAAGGTCCCTTCCAAATTATTAGGCTGGAAAGAAAGTTCTCGGAATAAATTTGGCTGGAATTTCATTAAAATGAATCCACGAATGCTTGGCGCATACTTTATAGTTACTTCAGTATATTAAGTGGTATTAGGTTGGAAAGAAAATTCTCGGAAAAATTTGTGATTAAGTCCAATTTGATCCAATGCTTTCACTTTTCAGAATCACCTATAACACTCAGTGTCAAGAAGGTGACACCCAAATTATTTTTGAAAAAGCTTCTCTGTTAAAATCTTTTGGCTAAAAATAGAAATTATAGAGCGTTTTGCTCATTTATGCTAGCTTTACCTCATAAGGAATCGTTTTTCTGCTGCAAAAAAGTGAGCTTAATTTAAACTGGAAAATAATCATTTTTGCAAAATCTCTAAAATTTTACGGAGCTGCACTCATTTTTTTCGAGTAATTTCTTGGAGTCGACTTGCAAATAATAGAACAAAATGATCATGAATTGGTGGATTCGTTTTCAAGAAATTGCAGTCAAACTTTTTCCAAGAACTTTCTTTCAAACCTAATAGATACTTAAAATCACCAGAAATTACTGATTTGACGTATTTGAACTATTGAAATAAGCAGGCATGAAGTCAAAAGAAGAAGCACAAAGATTTTCATTGCTCGTTTTAAATATTACTAGCAAAATCACATCAGTGATTTTGCTGGTTATTTGGAAACATTTTTACGTTTTAAAGGAAGCTGAATGGAATTAATGAAATAAAATTGAGAAAACTATTTTAAAGATGTGAATGTAATCAATTATTGTTCAATTTTAAAATGTCAACCACATGAAAAGTCATTTAAAAATTTAGGGACTTTTTTAAGGCCGCATTTCTTTTTCATGTTTTCTTGCGTTACTTGGAATCTTTTTCATGTATTCCTTTATTCAAAAGATATCAAGCCGTTAAATGCACAACACAAACATCTCCACATGCAGCCGCACATGGGTAACTCCACATCTTCATCTCAGTAATCATCCAATCACCAGATGCTCCATAGAGATAAGTGCACGTTTTGTGATTTGCCCCTTTTCGAAAAACAGTCACAATGTCGATACGTCCTTGCCATTTATCACCATAAGTCGCTGCAAGCTCTGCTAGCGATTGGATCTCGTCATGTCGTTCTCGCGATTGAAAAGGGTCTTGAAAGTAACGTCTAAAATAAAGTATTGCCTCAATTCTGACTCTGACTAGTGATCGCCAGCTTAAATTTTAAAGCAAAGAATGTAAAGAAGTTTTTCAAACCATTGTAAACAGGGTTGAAAAAGCCAGGGCCGATCCTGACTCTGGCGTAATTTTGATTTTATTTCAGTCAAAATTACATTTTCTATTGATAAGTATTCATACTCGTTTACTAGGAACTGTTCAAGAACACCTTTAATCTAAATTTTCAAAAAAGTATTTGGGTTTGCGGCCCGACCTTGGTTATACCAAGCTAGTCCATAATATTAGGCTAACAAGTAATGACGGATTGACTGACAGATGGCCTTAAACTTAACCAAACTTAACGAGTTTGGTCTTATTCGAAAGCTGTATGTATTCAACAGGAGCACAGTAGCGAAAACCATTTTTTGATTAGTTCGGTTTTAAAATTTTGATAAGCATTTAAGTGAGCTCGGTCAGACCAAAAAAGTGTCAAAACCACATTTCGTCAATTTTTGGGTTAAAAATCTAGGCTAAAAATGTTTTTTGTGATCAGTAAAATTACCTTAGATAGCGTAAACTTTGGTCTTTTTGCAAAAAAAGTTCAAAATTTGGTCACAGCTAGGAGTCGAACCCTCGACTCTCGCTTCAACGATTCGCAAAATCGCCCAGCTAAGATTTAGTGATCCCGAAATGTGATTTTGACACTTTTTTGGGTACCAAGCTGACTAAGCGCCATTTAAATGCTTATAAAAATTTGAAAACGGAACGAATCAACAAATGGTCTTCGCTACTGAGTTTTTCTTGAATACAGCTTTCGAATAAGACCAAAGATTGGCTTAGTTTGAGACCAGCTCCCAGCAAATCCACGATTACTTATTAGCTAGCCCAATAAATCCTCGTCTGACCTGATTCCTTCTCTTGCATCAGGCTTTGATCTATCCGGAAAGCCACCACGAAATACAAATATCACATAATTCTCAAACTTCAACACAGAGTTATCGTCTCCAAAGCCAACGAAACGCGTTCCCATGTAGTAGTTGTCCTCTGAGGAAGCCTGTTTTTCCCCATAAGCATTCACATAGTCTGCCGGTAGAACGGCGACTTGCTTTCTAATTCTGAAAATCACAGAAAACATTGCAAGTCAAAATTTTTTCCAGAAACTGAGCGGTTCCTTTGCGTTACACATCCGCAAAAATAACCCCTGATCATCAATCAATGAGGAGTCCATGCCGTAGCAATTTGTTGCAATGTATAACGGATGTATAACGGCAAAGAACCCTTTTCACTTTGATCGTGAACTAAAACATACGTATCGGTGTCAACTAAAAGTTTATAGATTTCCGAGGCCATTTCCTGCATTTTCTCTTGTTGTTTATACTGGGTGCTGCCCCATGTCCAATCCTTTTGATCCACTTTAACTCCGTGATACTCGGCCATCCAACTTCGAATCCTTTCCTCTTCTTCGGGCTTTTGGGTCCAATTTGCCTAAAAGCTTGCTGTCGCAAGAAAATTTTCAAATGGCTGACCACCTTTAATACCTTTAACTAAACCTATTTGCCTTTAATTAACGGAAAAACTCGCCCGTGGACCCGTGTAGCATCCGACAGAGAGAACGACTTCACCTTTGTACAACCATTTACGCTTCGATCCACAAGTGATAGTTTTTGTCTCCGACGGTGAATCCGTCATGTTGTTTATCTGAAACACGCTTTTGAAGATAAACTGAAAAAGAAACTCCCACTCGAACAAACGCGAAATCGTCTGCATCAGCGGTGCACGTGAGCCTTCGATAGACCCCATAATATCGACTGTAATTGAGAGATGAAGACAAGATGAGAAGGGTTTTCTCTAACGACCAAAAAGCCCTGAGACAAGGGCCGGATTATGGCTCGGAGCAAGCCTTAATCGGGTCCAAGCTCATTAAGATTTTGACCGTGCCGGGCCCGGAAAATCTTTCACGAAACAACTCTTACTGAGACGTCACATCACTCGAAAAGTTGTTCCATTTGCCATCAGCCGAATGAATGACAATTTTTTCACTCTGGCTGTTGCACTCTTCAATCCATTCTAAAAAATAGTTATTAGACGAGTTGGGTAACAAAAAAAAAAGAACAAAGTAATCGATCGAAACAAACGGACCTTTATTTAGTGTCACAATTTGTGCCAGTGAAGCCACAAACAAGAAAACGAATTCTTTCTTCATTTACAGCCAACTGAATAACAAATTTTTAAAAATGTGAATTGTAAAAAGAGAAACTTTAGTTTAAAGATGAGAAGTTGTTCAAATCAATACTAAGACTTTGGAATTTCTTTTGACGACTTCATTTTCTGATCAAATTTTTATGTTCTTATTTCAAGGCCTATGTTATGACAATGATTCGATTCAAGAAGAATTTGTTTGATATAATCATACGTTTTTTTCTTTTTTGCCGAAATAAGTTAATGGAAAAACGAGAAGAAAAATTTTAGCGCTTTTACGACAAACTGTAGTACCAGTGCAGTATCTGAGTAGCCATGTTTTTGTTTTATATGTCTCAGCCGCTAGTTTTTCAATCATCATCGGCTAGCCGCAAGTGATTGAAAGTTTTTTAACGAAACATTTGAAATGCAATGCAGATTTATCTCACATGCAAATAAAAAGTTAGGTTAATCGGACCAAATATTTTAGCACCTCAAGAGGTAACTTCTGTTGCCTAATTCGAAAGATTATGTCATCTAACTGAAAGTAAATTTTGATTAATATTTTTACTTTATGAATTACAAGTTTTATTCACTTTTCAACAATTTATTGCAAACATATAATAAGCAAACAAGCTCAACAACAAAAAAAAATTAATTAACAACTTCCCTAAGGTACATCGTGACATCGACTGTTGGACAAAACGTTCGACCTGTGGCATACACATCGACCATTTACGTATCCAAATCCTCATCTGGTATTGATTGCAAATCGATCAGATCCACTTGGACCCGCTTTGTTGTTTGGTGATGATTGGCTTGACAACGACTCCTTTTTTCGGCGTGCCTTTCTTCAATTCACATTCAGGACAGAGCTTGACAAAAATCTCGATGATATCCTGAGATATTCCATGATATTCCCTTAGTGCTTTCCACATTATGTCCCTTCCAGCGTGTCCATGATCCTTGTGTGTTTTGATCAATAGTTGAAAGAGATTTTCCTTTATAATCACTCGTTTCATTTCTCCGGTTCTTCCAATGTTGTAGATGACGTCCAGATCGTTCTCCTTTTGCAAAGTGAAGCGCGCCAACAAAAAATTTATTTCTTCAGGAGTCCTTTTTCCTTTTGTATCTTCACTGGTTATTCGTTTGATCGTTTTCACAATTTCGGCGTGTTTTGTGACATCGGGAATCTAATTGTATTTCTTCGTAGATTGATGTTGCGTAAGGCGATCGACAAATTTACTTTCCATTTCTAAAAAAATAACTAGAAAAGTTGCAACGATACACGAGATAAATCGAAAAAAGAAACGATTGAAACAATTTGAGAACAGAAGTTACCTCCCGAGGTGTTAAAGTATTTGGTCCTATTAACCTAACTTTTTTATTAGCATGTGAGATAAATCTGCCTTGTATTCCGAATGTTTCATTTAAAAAACTTTCAATCGGTTAACCGATGGTGATTTTCTTGAATTTTGGTCTCTTTGAAAATCAAATCAATCGTTGAATCGAGTGCCTTTTTTCTCTTATATATTTTCTAATGTTTTTTGTTTGATTTCGATCTTTCTGAGTTGTATTTTATTCCCATTTGCACATTTTAGTAAGATGAAACCTATTTTGGTTGGAAAGAAAATTCTCGGAAAAAAGTTTGACTCGAATTTCTTAGAAACGAATCCACGAATGCTTGGCGTATACTTTATAGTTAATTCAACGCATTAAACAAAGTGGTATTAGGTTGGAAAGAAAGTTCTCGAAAAAAGTTTCCACGGTGATTTCTCAAAAGCCAAGCCATTGCAGATTTTTTGATAAATTTGTCCATATTTCAAAAAGTTTTTGACAAAAAAATCAGGGTGAGCTTCAGGTGAAAAATAAGAGATTTTTTTCAGCTGAAGTGATTTGGTCACTTTTTGAGTGACCAAATCACGACAAGTGGGTTAATGAATAGGCAATGGGTCCCATTTCAAAACCTAAAATGAAGTACTTAAAATAGGGAAAATTTGTGATTAAGGCAAATTTGATCTAATGCTTTCACTTTTCAAAATCACCTATTTTAGCAAACACTCAGTGCCGAGAAGATGACATCAAAAAATGATTTTTTGAAATACAGCTTCTTTGTTCTGTTTGGGCAAAAATAGAGTTTATAGAGCGTATTGCTCATTTATGCTAGCTTTACCTCATAAGGAATCATTTTTCTACTACAAAAAGTGAGCCGAATTTAAGCTAGAAAATAATAATCTTTGCTAAAATCTCTGAAATTTTAAGGGACAGCTCTTTTTTTACGAGTAATTTCTTGGAGGCGACTTATAAATACCGTATTCTCCCTAATAGTAGTGCACTCTTTAATAGTATTGCGGTCCGAGAGGGGGTTGAAAAAATAGTTTTTTTTTTAATTCATTTATTAACTATTCTTCACATGAGAAAGTTAGCAAAAAATCTAAAATGGCTGTGCAAAGTGCAAAAACATCTTTTTTGTTATTTCCACACATTGTTTTAGTGGTTCACACATTTTCACACATTAACTCAAATTCGCTTACGAACTTCGCGCAAAGCTATAGTCACTTTTTGCTCTTATATACCTGTATAAAGTTTGAGAATTGATTTACCTTTTGCGGCGCTAAGCTTTATTGTTATCAAAACTCAATCCTAGAAAATAATCCATCATGTTCGCTTTTAATATTATATAATTTTTGTTGGTCTCCTTTACTATTGTCTAAATAATCTTTTTCTTTAAGTATGGATCTCGATGGGAACTCGCTTGATGAATTCGAAAATTTTCGAGCTCGTCGTGAACACGAGGAACATGTGGAATTCTTCAAGAGGATTGACAATCAAGTGGCCGAGCAAAATGCCGGCTACAACATGACCAACGATGTTGCCGAGGAGTCTTCGTGTGACTCGGATGCACCATCCGCGAAAATTCGCGATGCTTTGCCATTCAAACAAAGCCGAAAGCGATTGATTTTGCTGAAAAAATAAAGGAAAAGTTGGCTGCAGCGCGGAAATTTGGAGTCAGTCGTCAAATATTCCAAAAATGGTGTGAGCAAAAGGAAGAATTCGAGGAATAAAACAGAGATAACGGAAAAGGAAAAAAGCGAATCAAAAGCGAATAATGTGGAAAGCCGACGAGGAATTTTCGGCATCAGAGGGATGGCTAAATTTGTTCATGTCAAGGCACAAATTGTCAACTCGCCGGCCCACTACTGTATTTGGAAAGGAGCCAAAGGAGTACGTGAAAGAATGGCAAGAATTTTTGGAACAAAGCTTATATCTGTCTTACTTTGGTAAATGATAAAACTCTTTAATAGTAGTGCACTCGCCAATATATTGCTATCTAAATTACTCATTATTTGAACTATTGAAATAACCAGACATGAAGTCAAAAGAAGAAGCACAAAGATTTTCATTGCTCGTTTTGTGATTTTGCTGGTTATTTGGAGACATTTTTCGTTTTAAAGGAATCTAAATGGAATTAATGAAATCAAATTGAGAAAACTATTTTAAAGCTGTGAATGAAATCAACTATTGTTCAATTTTAAAATGTCAACTACATGAAAAGTCATTTTAAAATTTAGGGACTTTGTTTTAAGGCCGCATTTCTTTTTCCCTGTTTTCTTGCGTTACTTGGAATCTTTTTCATGTATTCCTTTATTCAAACGACATCAAGCAGTTAAATGCGCAACACAAACATCTCCACATCCAGCTGCACATGGCCGACTCCACGTCTTCACCTCAGAAATCATCCAATCACCAGATGCTCCATAGAGATAAGTGCAGGTTTTGTGATTAGCTCCTTTTCGAAAAACAGTTAAAATGTCGATACGTCCTTCCCATTCATCACCATAAGTCGCTGCACGCTCTGCTAGCAATTGGATCCCGTTGTGTCGTTCTATCCCATTGAGACCATCTTGAAAGTAATCACTAAAATAAAGTGGTATCTCAATGATGACTATAACTAGTGATTGACAGCTCCAGTTTTAAGGCAAAGAAATTTAAAGAAGTTTGGTACTTTGATGATTAGGGGCCGCCTATATTTTTGCTTTTTCCAATTTTCTAGGGGTAATCGAGGGCGCTGAGCACGAATTTGATCCTTTTAGCATAAGATAATAAACTAATCAACATAAATTTTTAGCATTTCAACTAAAAGAACCAACATTTCGACACGTTTAAAATTACGCTTCTAAGCGCTATTCAGGTTGGGAAGGGGGGCACATTTTTTCGTCAAAACCACTTCTTCTCGGGTAGCTTTATGCGTAGATTCCGAAAAACACAACTAGAGCTTGGGAGAATGCGTTTGAGTCCAGTTTTGGGGCTCCAAAGTGCATAATATAACCTACTGATTACGTTTCTGCTCAAATTGAAGCGAAATAAAAAAAGGTTTTTTTCCAAATTTCGACCATGTGGGTCCCCCACATGAGTCAAAATCTCAATAAAATATTTTTTCAATTTGCTTTGCCTCTCTACCAGTCAATTTAGTTAGAGAATGAATATTTAGTGGTTAAAAATTTTTTGGGTCTAGTTTTGACCTTGAGAAGTGCCCCAATAGTCGATAGCTGGAGTACACGAATTTAAAGTTGCATTTAAAGTGCAAGAAAGTGTAGTTTTCAGCGTGTCGAAATGTCGGCTTTTCGATTGAGAACCTATTCTAAAACTGTCAAATTCGTGCTCAGCGCCGTCGATTACCCCAAGAAAAGTGAAAAAATCAAAAATATAGGTGGCCCAGCAACCACCAAAACACCATTGTGGGTTGTGCCGAAAAAAGTCAGGCCCGATCCCGGCCTGATCCTAACATGCCTTTGATTTTGAGTCAGGGCCTAACGTACTTTTGATTTTACTTTTAAGCCAAAATTACATTTTTTTATTTATAAGTATTCATAACCATTTACCAGGAACTCTTTAAGAACAACCGCGAAGAGCGAAAACCATTCTTTGAGTCGTTCGGTCTTAATATCTTTAAAAGCATTTAAGTGCGCTCGGTCAGATCGAAAAAAGTGTCAAAATCACATTTCGACGATTTTTTGGTTAAAAATCTAGGCTAAAAATATGTTTGTTCACGGGGTACGATTTTCACAATAGACACCCCAACTTTGGATGCGTTTTTCTTGTGTGTTTTTGAATATGGGCAAAACTGAATACAGCATCAGATTCACCGTGTCCGATTGGCGTTTGCATTTCAACGGCGTGAATATCTGCTACGACGATTTTGTCGCATCTCCTCGCTAGGTCTTTTTGGAAAAAAAAATTGAAAATTTCGTCACAGTTGGCAGTCGACCCCTCGACCCTCGGATCAACGAATCGCCAGGCCCCAGCTAAAATTTAATGGTCCTGAAATGCGATTTTGAGACTTTTTTGGGTACCAAGCCGACTGAGTACCATTTAAATGCTTATAAAAATTTGAAAACGGAACAAATCAACAAATGGTCTTTGCTATTGAATACAGCTTTCGAATAAAACCAAAGATTGGCTAGTTTGAGATCATGTCCCAGCAAATCCACCATTACTTATTAGCTAGCCCAATAAATCCTCGTCTGACCTGATTCCTTCTCTTGCATCAGGCTTTGATCTCTCCGGAAAGCCACCACGAAACACAAATATCACATAATTGTCAAATTCCAGCACAGAGTTATCGTCTCCAAAGCCAACGAAGCGCGTTCTCATGTAGTAGTTGTCCTCTGAGAAGGGCAGATTTTCCGGATAAACATTCACATAGTCTGCCGGTAGAACGGCGACTTGCTTTCTGATTCTGAAAAGCCCAGAAAATATTGTAAATTAAAGTTTTTTTAGAAACTTTTTGCGGTTCCTTTCCGTTATACATCCACAAAAACAACCCCTGATCATCAATCAATGAGCAATCCATGCCGTAGCAGTTTGTTGCAACACCGTTTCGTAGAAATAGTCCTTTCACACTTCTGGTCGAATCATCAATTTATCGAGGTAGTTCGGTAGGAAATGTCGTGCCGCGATGCTTCTTGTTGCTCCATTTTGCCCCTAGACGCTAGATCGTCTGCGTGTGAATGGCAGGGTCATCCGGATTCAAGCAGTTGTACTTGTTGTACTTATTGACATGAGCGTGGGCAAAGCCGGCCTCATTCATCTGTTCAGTATTTCATCCTCGCCAACAATGGGAGTCAATTTAGGTTCCCGGCTCGATGTGTTCAATCATCGCTTCCAACAGGGCCGGTCACCTCGACCAGAAAACATTCCTGGGTTTCCCGGCAAACTCCTCTAAATATCCACACTTGCGGCCAGATTCGGCCCACATTTGCCTTTCGCTTCGAGAAGAGAGCCTCGTTCACTTCGTCAATTGGATTGGCTCCTCCAATTTTTCCTCTCAGCTTGTTCACCAGATATTCCACGCAAAGAATCCTAGTTGTTGAAGTCAACCGCGATGATTCATCTCCAATTCTTTCGCACAATAGTTGATCGAGGTCCACCGTTGAGTCCATCCTTAATCGTAGGATTGTGAGAAACGGAATTTTGGTGCTCTCCATCCATGAGCCAACACTCAGGTCGATCGCTGTCAAGCACGACGTTTTCTCACATCCGCATTGGGGGTTCTGATTGAGCAATAGCTTCATAACGTGATGGTTGGCGCATGTGCGAGTAGTAAGCAAGATGCGGCGCTGTTGAAAGAACGAGATTGCATCGGCCTCGTTAGTCGGTAAGCGAAACCTGAATCCACCGCGCCCTTAGAAAATAGCGAAAAAATTATTTCATTTGGTTTTCCTTGTTCATTTTCCTGGAAGGATGCAAATTTTGCGGATGTATAACGGAAAAGAGCCCTTGTCGCGTTGATAGTGAGCTAAAACTTACATATGATCGGTGTTAACCAAAAGATTTTGGATTTCCGAGGCCATTCGTTGCATTTTCTTTTGTTGTTCATACTGGGTGCTGCCCCATGTCCAATCCTTTTGATCCTCTACAGTTCCTTGATTCTCGGTCATCCAATTTCGAATCCTTTCCTCTTCTTGGGGCTTTTGGATCCAATTTGCCTAAAAGCCTGCTGTCTCGAGAAATTTTCAAATGCTTGGCTACCTTTAATACCTTCAACTAAACCTATTTGCAAAGCAACTTACCCGTGGACCCGTGTAGCATCCAACAGTGTCAACGACTTCACCTTTGTGCAACCATTTACGCTTCTTTCCACAATCGATAGTTTTTGTGTCTGACGGTGAATCCATCTGGCCGTTTATCTGAAACACACTTTTGAGGATAAACTGAAAAAGAAACTCCCACTCGAACAAACGCGAAATGGCCTGGATCAGCAGTGCACGTGAACTTTCGATAGACCCCATCCTGTTGACTGTAATTGAGAGATGAAGATAAAATGAGAATGGTTGTCTCTAGCGACCCAAAAGCCCTGAGGCAAGGGCCGGATTATGGCTTGGAGCAAGCCTTAATCGGGTCCAAGCTCATTAAGGCTTTCACCGTGCCGGGCCCCGAAAATCTTCCACAAAACAATGCTTACTAAGACGTCACATCGCTCGAAAAGTTTTTCCAGTAGCCATCAGCCGAATGAATGACAATTTTTTCACTCTGCCTCTTGCACTCGTCAATCCATTCTAAAAAGAGAGCCAGTAGACGAGTTGGGTAACAAAACAAAAAGTTGGGTAACAAAAAAAGAACAAAGTAATCGATCGAAACAAACGGACCTTCATCTGCTGTCACAATTTGTGCCAATGAAGCCACAAGCAAGAAAACGAATTCTATCTTCATTTACAACTGAAAAGCAAATTTTTAAAAATGTGAACTGTAAAAAGAGAAAGTTTACTATAAAAACGAGAAGTTGTTCGAATAAGCATCAAAAAATTCGATGAGAAAATGAAGTTGTCAAGTTGAAATTTTGAATTTAAAGGCCTTTTTTGTGTTTAGATAATGATTCAATTCAAAAAGAATTTTTGATAGAAGTAAACACCTTTTTCCCATTTAAAAATGGTTCAAAATAAGTTAATGGAAAAACAAGAATGGAAAACGTCAAAAAATTTATGGAGAAAATAAATTCCAAAATTTGGAATTTGGAATTTAAAGGTCTATGTGGTGTCTGGAAAATGATTCAATTCGAAAAGAATTTTTTTAATAAAGAATTTTCTTTTTCATATATAATAAATCGCTTAAAAGAAGTTAATGGAAGAAAGAGAAGACACATTTCAACGCTTTTACGATCAAATGCAGTATCTGAGCAGCCATATTTTTGTTTGTATATATGAATACTTTATTCAGAAATAAAGTGCCGAAATGACATGAAAAATAGATGATGCCACTATGATTCCAGAATTCCAGATTCCAAAACCAGAAGCACTCCATTTGCCTCAATGTTTGGTAAAGACTACGATAATGAAGAGGAAATAAGGTAAGTTTTTAATTATTTACACAATAGTTTTCAAACTATTTTGCTTAGTGATGAAAACGAAAATTGGTCCGAAAATGACAACCGGAATTACCGTCCGAGAATTTTGTTTCGTTTATTGTTTATTTTAGTCTACCTTATTTCTTCGAATAGAAGACCGGTCTCGAATAAAAGAGAATAAAAGAGCGCTCGAATAGAAGACGAGATCTGGAGGGTGATCGAAAAAAGAGAAGGCTGGTTCCAATATAACACCGATCTTTTATTCAAGGTATCACTTCTTTTTTATTTTTCGCTAAAATTATTGTATCCGAAATAAGAAAAGTCAACCCGAAAGTGTTGTTTTTTTCTGATTTTTTCAGATTTTATTGCGTTACTAATTTTTCTTTCTTAGGTAATGCCGAATTCAAAAAACTGGTAATTGAATCGCTAGCGGCTAGCCGATGGTTTCAATCACTATCGGCTAGCCGATGGTGATTCAATCACTAGCGGCTGAAAATCACGAGCGGCTGCGACATTTTTATATATGAATACTTTATTCTGAAATAAGGTGCCGAAATGAAGATTCACAATAACTCATGACAAATAGAAGATACCACCATGGAACCAGAAGCACTCCATTTGCCTCAATGTTTGGTAAAGACTACGATGATGAACGGGAAATAAGGTAAGTTTTTAATTATCGTATTTTCTCTAATAGTAGTGCACCCCAGCGAGCCGAGTTGTTTCTATTTTACGGCTTTCAAAGAAAAATTTTAGCGCTTTTACGAGAAACTACAGTACAAACTGTATCTGAGCTGCCATATTTTTGCCTTAAAAATCAATACTTTATTCTAAAATAAGATCAAACACCTAAATTTTAAGCTAAGCTTTTGAATTAAGCAGTTACCTAAGTGGGCTAACACAAAGCTTTGCGTTTCTAACCTGATAAAGGTCCCTTCCAAATTAAAGTTTGACTGGAATTTCTTAAAAACGAATCCACGAATGCTTGGCGCATACTTTATAGTTACTTCAGTACATTAAACAAAGTGGTATTGGGTTGGAAAGAAAGTTCTAGAAAAAAGTTTGGACGGTGATTTCTCAAAAACTAAGCCATGAATTCTTCCCAGATTTTTTGATAAACTTGACTATATTTCAAAAAGCTTTTGAACAAAAAAATTATAGTTGGCTTCAGGGAAAAAAATAAGAGATTTCTTCAGCTGAAGTGACTCAATTTTAACAAAATAAATAGAGACTAAAATTTTGCATACTCGTAAAATTGGTATTGATATTTTATTGTTAATGATCAATGTAATGATTAGCGTATTATAAGTCTATTATGATATAAACTTGAAATTTTTGGTCCCTTTGAAAATCAAATCAATCGTTGAATCGAGTGGCTTGTTTCTTTTATATATTTTCTGAAGTTTTCTTCTTTGATTTCGATCTTTCTGAGTTGTATTTTATTACCATTTGCACATTTTAGTAAGATGAAACCTATGTTTCCAAATAACCAGCAAAATCACAAAACGAGCAATGAAAATCTTTGTGCTTCTTCTTTTGACTTCATGCCTGGTTATTTCAATAGTTCAAATAAGTCAGTTGAGTAATTTTTGGTGATTTTAAGTATCTATTAGGTTGAAAAGAAAGTTCTCGGTAAAAGTTTGACTGGAATTTCATTAAAAACGAATCCACGAATGCTTGGCGTATGCTTTATAGCTACTTTAAAATCTTAAGGGAAAGCTCATTTTTTTTTACGAGTAATTTCTTGGAGGCGACTTATAAATACCGTACTCTCTCTAATAGTAGTGCACTCTTCAATAGTAGTGCACTCTCTAATAGTATTGCGGTCTGAGAGGGGGTTGAAAAAATAGTAGTGCAGCCTCGAAAATTTGGATTTATAGTGTTTCTTTTTCATCTAAACCTTTTTGACTTTATATTTATGTGACATTCTAAAGCTATTCAAGCAAGTAAAAGTGAGGCTTTTTTTATTCATTTATTAACTATTCTTCACATGAAAAAGTTAGCAAAAAATCTAAAACATCTTTTTGTTGTTTCCACACATTGTTTTAGTGACACATTAACTCAAATTCGCTTACGAAGTTCGCGCAAAGCTATAGTCACTTTTTGCCCTTATAAACCTGTATAAAGTTTGAGAATTGATTTACCTTTTGCGGCGCTAAGCTTTATTGTTATCAAAACTCAATCCTAGAAAATAATCCATCATGCTCGCTTTTAATATTATATAATTTTTGTTGGTCACCTTTACTATTGTCTAAATAATCTTTTTCTTTAAGTATGGATCTCGATGGGAACTCGCTTGATGAATTCGAAAATTTTCGAGCTCGTCGTGAACACGAGGAACATGTGGAATTCTTCAAGAGGATTGACAATCAAGTGGCCGAGCAAAATGCCGGCTACAACATGACCAACGATGTTGCCGAGGAGTCTTCGTGTGACTCGGATGCACCATCCGCGAAAATTCGCGATGCTTTGACATTCAAACAAAGCCGAAAGCGATTGATTTTGCTGAAAAAATAAAAGGAAAAGTTGGCTGCAGCGCGGAAATTTGGAGTCAGTCGTCAAAATATTCCAAAAATGGTGTGAGCAAAAGGAAGAATTCGAGGAACAAAACAGAGATAACGGAAAAGGAAAAAAGCGAATCAAAGGGGGTGGACGAAAGCTCAAGGATGTCGATTTTGATAAGAATCTTGTTGCTTGGATCCAAGAAATGCGGGCAAAGAAGATGCGAGTGATACGAAAAATGATTCAATGCTAAACCAAGTTAATGTGGAAAGCTGACGAGGAATTTTCGGCATCAGAGGGATGGCTAAATTTGTTCATGTCAAGGCACAAATTGTCAACTCGCCGGCCCACAACTGTATTTGAAAAGGAGCCAAAGGCGTACGAGAAAGAATGGCAAGAATTTTTGGAACAAAGCTTATATCTGTCTTACTTTGGTAAATGATAAAACTCTTTAATAGTAGTGCACTCGCCAATATATTGCGATCCAGGAAGGGATTGAAAAAAATCGTACGGCGCACTACTGTTAGAGAGAATACGGTAATAGAAAAAATAATCTTGAATTGGTGGATTTGTTTTCAAGAAACTCCAGTCAAACCTTTTCCGAGAACTTTCTTTCAAACCTAATAGATACTTAAAAGCACTAAAAATTACTCATTTGACTTATTTGAACTATTGAAATAACCAGGCATGAAGTCAAAAAAGAAGCACCAAGATTTTCATTTCTCGTTTTGTGATTTTGCTAGTTATTTGGAGACATTTTTGAAGTTTTAAAAGAATCTATATGGAATTAATGAAATCAAATTAAGAAAATTATTTTAAAGATGTGGATGTAATCAACTATTGTTCAATTTTAAAAGGTCAACTACATGAAAAGTCATTTTAAAATTTAGGGATTTTGTTTTAAGGCCGCATTTTTTTCTTGCTGTTTTCTTGCGTTACTTGGAATCTTTTTCATGATTTCATTTATTCAAACGACATCAAGCAGTTAAATGCACAACACAAACATCTCCACATGCAGCCGCACATGGGTAACTCCACATCTTCACCTCAGAAATCATCCAATCACCAGATGCTCCATAGAGATAAGTGCACGTTTCGTGATTTGCTCCTTTTCGAAAAACAGTCACAATGTCGACACGTCCGTCCCATTTATCACCATAAGTCGCTGCACGCTCTGCTAGCGATTGGATCCCGTCGTGACGTTCTGTCGATTTGAATTCATCTTGAAAGTAATGTCTAAAATAAAGTATTGTAGATTGGTCGAGTTTGAGATCATCTTCCAGCAAATCCGCCATTACTTATTAGCCAACCTAATATTATGGACTAGCTTGTTATAATCAAGGTTGGGCCGCAAACACCTACTACTAATAAACACTGGTCTGACCTGATTTCTTCATTTGCATCAGGTTGTGATCTGTACGGAAAGCCACCACGAAACACAAATATCACATAATTCGCAAATTTCAGCACAGAGTTATCGTTTCCATAGCCAACGAAACCCGTTTTCATGTAGTAGTTGTCCTCTGAGAGGGCCTGTTTTTCCCCATAAGCATTCACATAGGCTGCCGGTAGAACGGCGACTTGCTTTCTGATTCTGAAAATCACAGAAAACATTGCAAGTCAAAGTTTTTTCAGAAACTCTTCGCGTTGATAATGAGCTAAAACTTACATATTATCGGTGTTAACCAAGAGATTTTGGATATCCAAAGCCATTTGCTGCATTTTCTTTTTTTGTTCAGACTGGGAGCTGCCCCATGTCCAATCCTTTTGATCCTCTACAGTTCCGTGATTCACGGCCATCCAGCTTTGAATCTTTTGCTCTTCTTCGGACTTTTGGAGCCAATTTGCCTAAAAGTTTGCTGTTTCGAGAAAATTTTCAAATGTTTGGCTACCTTTAATACCTTTAACTAAACCTAAAAACTCACCCGTGGGCTCGTGTGGCATCCAACAGAGACAACGACTTCATCGTTGTACAACCATTTACGCTCCTCTCCACAAGTGATAGTTTTTGTGTCTGACGGTGAATCCATTTTGTCATTTATCTGAAACACACTTTTGAAGATAAACTGAAAAAGAAACTCCCACTCGAACAAACGCGAAATCGTCTGCATCAGCGGTGCACGTGAGCTTTCGATGGAGCGAATGATCTTGCCTGTAAATGAGAGATGAAGATAAAATGAGAAAGGTTGTCCCTGGCGGTCTAAAAGGTTCGAGGCAAGGACCGGATTTTAGCTTTGAACAAGCCTTAATCGGGTCCAAGCTCATTAAGGTTTTGACCGTGCCGGGCCCGGAAAATCTTCCACGAAACAACTCTTACTGAGACGTCACATCACTCGAAAAGTTTTTCCAGTAGCCATCAACCGAGTGAATGACAATTTTTTCGCTCTGGTTCTTGCACTCTTCCATCCATTCTAAAAAAGAGCCAGTAGACGAGTTGAGTAACAAAAAAAGAACAAAGTAATCGATCGAAACAAACGGACCTTCATCTGCTGTCACAATTTGTGCCAGTGAAGCCACAAGCAAGAAAACGAATTCTATCTTCATTTACAACTGAAAAGCAAATTTTTAAAAATGTGAACTGTAAAAAGAGAAAGTTTAGTATAGGAACGAGAAGTTGTTCGAATAAGCATCAGAAAATTTGATGAGAGAATGAAGTTATCAAGTTGAAATTTTGAATTTAAAGGCCTTTTTTGTGTTTAGATAATGATTCAATTCAAAAAGAATTTTTGATAGAAGTAAACACCTTTTTCCCATTTAAAAATGGTTCAAAATAAGTTAAAGGAAAAACAAGAATGGAAAATATCAAAAAATTTATGGAGAAAATAGAGTTGTCAGATGAAATTCCAAGGTCTATATTGTGATTTAAAGGTCGTGTTTTTGTGTTTAATGTTAGTGCAGTGACAAATTTAAGGACACATTAAATGTTGTGACAATGATTCGATTCAAAAAGAATTTTTCTGGATAGAAGTAAACACTTTTTTCCCCATTTTACCGTATGCTCGCTGTGCACTAATAGTAGTGCACCGCAGCGAGCCGAGTTGGTGACTATTTTACAGCTTTCAAAGTTTTCACAGAAGTTCAACACTCTAATCCTCCACTAGATCTCATCGTCAGCTACATTTTCCGACCCCACATCGATAGGTTCTGATAAGCGCTTCTCGAGATTTCGAGGAATTTAGGCGACGCTCAGGGTACACTACTATTAGAGAAAATACGGTAGCTCAAAAGTTAAGGGAAAAACAAGAAGACAAATTTCAGCGCTTTTACAATCAACTGCACTACCAGTACAGTATCTGAGAAGTCATCTTTTTGGTTTTCATATGTGAATACTGGATTCAAAAATAAAGTGCGGAAATGACATGAAAAAAATGTGGCCGATAAATGATCACAAAGAATCCAAGAAAAAAGCTCTTTTTAAATTTTAAGATTTTCAAAACTAGCCAAAATACCGTAAATTCTATTTTTCAATTCGCCCCTATGGTACCATTGTATTAGAGGGTGTCGTTTTATTTTTCACTCAAATGCCCACTACGGATCACAAAAAGTATCGTTGCTATGCTCAGGTTTCAAGGAATTCAACTATTGGCTTTCAAGATTTTGAAACTATTGAAAATCTATTGAAAATCTTCTAATATGAAGCTCTCGAAATAATTATATTTCTTAATAAACAGCCAAAACGAGGAAATACAAAGCGAGAAATTCTTTAAAATATGTGCAAATCCGGTTCGGATCGGGTCAAGCAACGATTCTGCCGAGAGGTTGGTACCTCTGAACTTCGACGTACTATAAAAAGCCTAGGTAATAGCAGGTCCACCACAAGGATAGCCTTACACGGGCAACGGCAGGGGAATTTGCAATGGCTAAATTTGCATGACATGACTTATTCTTTGATATTTGCCGTTCAAAAGCTTGTCGGTCTTTTGGTTGGGGTACTATTCTGCAGATGCAGATGCACCAAAAAGGAAGGTGGGGGCAATAATGCAATACTCCCAAAAAAACTATTTCATGCAAGGGAGGTGTCATTCTATTTTTCAATATTCTCCAGTTGTCCATTCTATTTGAGGGTGTCATGCCAATACAGCATTTACGGTATGAGTTTCGAGTTAACACATTAAGTTAACTAAGCTGCGGTCAAAAAATATTTCAACGACTTTTAAACAAAATAAAAACAACCATCTCTTTACGATTTTTACCTCCAACCTTTTTCTCTAGATGGCAGTTTGGAGATTTCTGATAAGAATGGACTTTGTTAGAGTTCGAGCGTTGTTTGAGTCTCCTTCCAAATGCATTGTTTAGCATGGATGTAAATTTGAAGTTTCAAAGCAAACGGCGTCCTCTTTACTAGCAAATTCTTTGCGAAATTATTGGAATTACAACAAAAAAAACGAAATTACGACAAAAAAAACGAGAAAAACGAAGGAAAATCGCGAAAAGCGGCGGAAAGGCTATTGATCTGAGGGTCGCTGGTTCGACTTCCACCGGTGACAATATTTTTCAAAAAGTTTTTGCTAAGATTCTGAAAATGCGTGTCTAGGGGTTATTTTTGACGCTGATCACGAAACACATGTTTTTAGCCTAGGTTTCTGTACGGAAAACTAACGAAACGTGAAAACAGCCGTTTTTTGGCTCTGCCGCCCTTTACTAAAATAGCTGTAAAAACTTTTAGAAAAGAGATATCTCAAAACGGTTTTTACCAATCGATCCGTCTTGAATTCAGCTTTAGGATGAGCTATAAAACGTCAAAATTGGACAAATTCAAGGTACTATCCCAAAAAAATCGGAAAGGACTTTTCCACCAACCCAATAGAAGCTAGGGATTTTTTTGCTTTTTGAAAGCTTTTTGCTGACACATCAACAATGGAGTTTTTCTTTTTTTCCCCAATCACTTTCCACTTTGGGATATCGATGCTGAAAATTCCCACCAATTAACCATTACATTCCACGTAATTTTTCTCAATGTACCTCAATCACTAACAATGATATCACTGTCAAACTGTAATTTTAAAAATAAAAACATGTTTGTTAAAAGGTAAAAGTGCTATGTGATTCAAATTTTTGTTTGCCCTATGAGCTGAGTCATTTTGTAACACAGAAACAAAAACTTTTCCATTTAGTTAATAATTCCTATTTTCAACACAGAACTACTCCACTTTTTACCTTTTAACAAACATGTTTTTGTTTGTTAAAAGGTAAAAAATAATTTTTAACATCCAGTCAAACCTCGATTTACAAAAAAAACTCAAGAAAATTCGAAAAACTTTTTTGTTATTGAGGTTTTTCTTTTGCCTCATAATGCTAAGAAGTGCTCTAAAAAGTAAAAATGTAGAAAAATGTGATCTTTGATACTATCAATGCTTTCATTTACACAAATCAAATGAATTTGATTCAAAAAGAACAACATGTAAAACAAGCTCATTATAAAATACATGAATCGCCTCGAAATGTAAATGATCTTTTCGGGAAGAGCACGTCTCGTCAAGCACGTCAAAAGTACTGTCTCGTTAATATTGAACACATCCTTTGAATCAAATTTTGGTTAAAACTTCAAGAGGAACGTTTTGACGCCAGTTGTTGACACTTTGTCGATCGACGGAAGCACTTTCCACTTTGATTGCTCGAAAAACAAGACCGTATCGCTTCTTGAAATTAGCCAGCCAACCGTTGGAAGCTTTGAAATTTGCGTGTACAAAATGATTTGCAAAGAGCCTTTTCTTTGATGATCGGTCCATCCAATGGCATATTTTCACTTTTTGCTTCACGAATCCACAAAATGAGTGCTTCTATTTGATCATTGTTTCCTTCTCGCAAACGATTTCTCCCATTTGTCCCTTCGTCATCTATTTCTTTCAATCTTCGTTCCTTGTCAAGTAAAATCGAAGTGATCGTGTTGTAAGAAAGATGGAATTCGTCAGCCAATTGAGAAACAGTCTCATCCTTTGATCTTCGAATCACTGGTTCGAATTTTTTTTCGAATCACTGGTCTAACTTGGTTCCTAATTGAATCGCTTCTCCCATTGTTTACCTGAAACAAAGAAAATTATTAATGCAATAAATAAAGGTAGCTTCTTTGCAAAACTTTTAGCTGATACCAATAAAAAACACAAAATATTTAATTAAACCAGTTTCGCAAAGAGGCTACGCCATAAAAAGAAATAAGACTGAAATCAAAATACTGAAACTTCACGTATTACTCGCAAAGAAGTGCAAATGATGGGCGTGGGACAAATGCTACCTTTTTTTTGCGCCCGGACATTTGCGCACCTTTTTTTCCGCACCTTGCCCATTAGCACACCTTTTTTCGCGTTTTAAAAAGCTCTAAAAAGCTAATATTAACCAATTTCTATTCCAAATTTTGTTTACTAGGCAATTTGAGGGTGTCGAATTCAAATTTTGACATAACAGAGCGTGTGGAACCAATTTGAAAGACAAAACGGCTAGATCAAATTAAAGAAAATTGTCGATCTTTTTCTTTGTATAACTCCGTCCGTTTGTTTCCACAAGCTCTGATATGTCAAAATTTCGATTCTACGCTCTAAAATTACCTAGAAAAACAACTTTTGGAATAGAAAAGAAATTGGTTAATATTAGCTTTTTAGAGCTTTTTTAAAACGCGAAAAAAGGTGCGCTAATGGGCAAGGTGCGGAAAAAAAGGTGCGCAAATGTCCGGGTGCGCAAAAAAAAGGTCGAATTTGTCCCACTCCCCAAATGATCAATATGGGTGAATAGCGAATCGTTTTATAGGTTCATTGCTAAAGGGTACTCAGCTGGAGACTGAATAGCTGCACTTTGAGGCGCATTTTAGAATTCAGCTTGGTGCAGTGTGGAAAGCCGTAAGGTTTTTATCGAGGCTAAAATGATACTAATTTTACTCGTCGGGATACGGAAAAAGTCTGTTTATTAACGAGGTTTATTTGCTATCGAGATTTGATTGGATTTGTTTCAAAATGCACTTACTATTAGGTATTTAGTTTTAATCAGCAGGTCCCCAAATCAGCAAAAGTTTCACCTTTTTCTTGCTCGCTTTTGTCTCTCTTATTTATCAAAAGGGGGACCACCTGTTGACGCCCTCAATTTGCATTTAACCCTCACCTTTCTCCTTTTACTTTGCCTCTTTGTCTTTGTCCTTTTTTGCAAAAAGTTTTTTTGTGAGGACACAAATTGCGCCACAGTCACCCGCGGGGAATCTCTTTATTTTTCGTCTGTTCGGTGAATCTTTTGTGCTTGAAAGAAGGTTTCAAATTAGGCAAAGAGTTTCAATAAATTGACGAAGTAATAACAATGAGTGATCACTCATTGTTGTTACTTCATTTCAAATAATTTTCGAAAATCTACCAACTTTCTATATAATCTTGTCTCTATTTTTATCCAATTTATCTACTTTTTCTGATTCTATGACAGTCCAGACATTGAAAGATATAAAAGTGGATAAATTGGATAAAGAGACAAAAAGAGACAAGATTACGGTAATTCGTATAGCTGGTTTCAATTTTGAGGCCTTTTAAACGAATGTGAACACCAGTGTTACAATAATTCTTCAATAATTC